CGGTCGATCCACCAACCCTCTGTGACCAGAGAGCTGATAAAAGTACAACAGGTTCGATCGGTTCGTGTTTCCAAGGTTTAATGCAAGGCCAACACGAACCGATTCCAGTCAAGAACATCGCGATTCCAGAAGAAAATCCACAAAACCCCCAACATAGCGGGAATTTAGAATAACCAAACACGGATGACGATGTAGAAGCAATAGTGATAGTTTGTGGAGTCATTTTAAGAGATGAAAGACGTAACAAAAAGAAAAGGTGGTGGATAAAAGATGACGGGAGCTGCTGCTCTATTTGCTGCACTATGATTTGGAGGTGACTGTTTTTTCATAGTTAACATTTTTAGCTGAATAAACATAATAATGACCTTTACATATAATAATAAACATTTCCACATATCATCTCCGATATCCACCGGACTCTCAGTTGCGCGATATGTCAGCTGTTTGGGATTCCCCTCTGTTCTTACGTCACCGCGCTTTCTGATTGGCTACCTGTTGTATTCTAGTTCCCAGTCAGGGAAAACCCCACAGGCTGCGATAAAAAGGCCAACACAACCCAAATTGGGTATTTTCAGGATTTACCGGGAACACCAACATGCAGAACCCTTATCTGACGGTTCATGACCCCCCCGCCGGGCCGCAGCAAAATTTTCTAAGTCTTGACCAGTCCGTGGTAATAAAAACGTTGGGGACCGCTGTTGTAAAACACAGATTTTATTGTCGATTGTCTTTTTCTTGATCTCATTTGGTTTCTATTTTTCTCGTATTTCAGATTCTCATCCAACAGCGTCTCTCACAGTGAGTCCTGACAGAGAGCAACACTTCACTGATGAGAAAATCCAACTGAACTGTTCAGGAAGCTCTGCTGACTGGAGAGTTAAGAGGTTTATAGAATCGTACAACCAGTCAGATTTATCAGACTGCTCCAGCTGGGGAACAATGACTGGATCCTCATGTACCTTCAGCAGTCTTGAGTATCACGATGCAGTGTACTGGTGTGAGTCTGGATCAGGAGAGTTCAGCAATGCAGTCAACATCACTTTAAACAGTAGGTTAATTTACATGTTGGTTTGACCTCCTGAGTTTGGCAGCTCACGCCATTTTATTTATGTCACTTCATAATGTTTTGTGCTTTTGCTCTGAGTTCTGCTTCATGTTGAAGAAATAATTAACAATGAGTTTGAAAACATTGCATAGTTTTTCATATCTTTAAAATGATACCATTTATGTCTCAATTTTAAGAATCGGTCTTTTCTTTTCAAATTTTTAATTAATTGTTTTTTTGTACAATTTGAATATGTTATAGTCTCATAAAAGCTTGCAATATTACTCAAATATATAATATTAAATGTCTCTACTTTAAGAGAAAGAATTTGTCTTTTTCCAACAGCTCCAGATTCACTCCTCACTGTGTCTCCATCATGGCTGAATCCTGGAGCCTCAGTGACTCTGAGCTGTGAGGTTAAACTTTCATCTGCAGGATGGAGGTTCTACTGGCTTAAAGTTGTTCCTGATTTATCAAAGAACAACTACAGATATGAGCTGCTGCCTGAGAGCATCGATGGGACTGAACAGGACTCCATTATCATTCCTGGACAGAAACACACAGCAGGATATTCATGTATAGCTGGATGGGGAAATTCTGACTTTTTCGCTAAATACAGTGAACCCAAGTTTATCTGGTCTGCAGGTCAGTGTGATTCTACCTAATAAACTATATCTTTGACTTTCATTTAAACATATTCTCATTTTGACTGAAAATTTGTTTAAATTATGGTAAAAATAATTAAGAAAGGGGGGAAAAAACATTGGGATTGATTGGGGGAAAAAGTTGAATTATTAAAAACAAATGAGTGACTGGACATTTTGGAAAAACAGTGAGAATAACAGAATTACTTGGTTTTTAAAGATGTTTTTAAACTAATGAATTTGCTTGTATTATGATTGCACATACAGTGCTGAAGCTGAAATCTACAAAGTAACCTAAAAAAGGAAAAGATCCTGTACAACATAAATTTTATTATCGGTTGTCTTTTTCTCGACCTCTGTTTTTCCTCGTATTCCAGAACCTCATCCAGCAGCGTCTCTCTCAGTGAGTCCTGACAGAGAGCAACACTTCACCTCTGAGTCTGTGACACTGAACTGTGGAGGAAACTCTACTGAGTGGAGAGTGAAGGAGTTTAGAGAATCAGGTTTCTCATCATGTCCATGCACCACCTGGGTTTCAATGACTGGATCCTCATGTACCATTAACAATGACCGGTCTTTTAAATCATTTTTTTGGTGTGAGTCTGGATCAGGAGAGTTCAGCAATGCAGTCAACATCACTTATCAAAGTACGTTATTATACGTGGTTCATCATTCACTTTATAATGTCATTCAAATCCAGGAACCAGTAACTGAGTTTGAGTTATTATTCAAGACTAAATATTTTCTTCTTCTGTGGTTTGTGTATTAATTTAAAATTAGATTTTCTGAAAAGCTCTTTTCTCATTTATGTTAAACTTACGTGGCTGTAGATGTGTTTATTTAGGGTTATACGACCACAACACAAATTAAACCCAACTTTGAAACCTTTATGGATTTTGATTCAGACTAATATTAAACTGAGGCTTTTCCAAATGCATATAAAAAGTATTCACAGCCTTAGATGTTTGTTTCCTTTTTATTGTTTTTACACACCAATCATATACAACAAAATTTCACTTGAAAAGCTTTTACAAAACATAACTATAGTCAAAGTAAAAATGCATTTTTACAAAATTATTACAATTAAATTATTGTTTAACTTTACATCATTGCTTAAATATTCTCTCCCTTCAACAGAGTATTTATATCTACATAGTATATAGAACAATTTGTGTTTACATTCAGCAAATGCTGAAAAGAGAACTTTTTCATCAGTGTCTTTTTAACTTTATACATGTCAATGCCTACGTTAGCAATAAAACCTGGTGCATGTAAACTCGGGGCATAAAGAGCTCCGGCTGGGGGCCGGATTTCCGGCTTTTGATCAAACGGTCCACCTTAACCAAACTGTAGTCTCCGGGCTAGACCGGAACGTGTCGGCGACGACACATCTAAATTTGCAATACCGTAATTCCGCCACACGTAGCGCTATCTGAAAAATTCCAACGGTTTCTGAAAGGGGAGACGTTGCACTTTCTATCAAATATCGGGTTAATACGGTAACTTCACAGCTGCAGCTGCAGAGACTGTAATTAATCCGGGGGGGGGGGCCTCGTTTAGACGGTGAATTGCGAAAATAACTTGCTGGATATTGAACGTTCCGGTTGTTATGGATACATGGGTAAGTATATCATCTCACAGGACATTTAAAGAACTACTTACAATTAAAATAAATATTTATTTAGTCAGATGTTTGAAACTTAGGCGTAAAGAGCTCCGTCTGGGGGCCAGACTTCCAAGCAAAGCGAGCATTGGACCAAACGGCCTGCCTCAACTAAACTGTAGATAATAGACAAAGATGTCTGCCAATCAGAACTCTAGCTTCCGTGTTCTTGACCAATGACTGCAAAACGTTTTGTAGAAAAGAAGTGGATGCGTTCGGTTAATTCAAATGCGATATGAATGAAGACGGAGTTTGTCTCACCCGGTAAAGAAACACGTTTACTTGAGAAGGGAATTAAAAACAAGTGGTGCTTGTTTTTAATTCCTGAATGGGAGGCGGTGAGGGACCTGGATGAAGGCTATGGGGGTGCTGGCCTGAAAAAAGTTGAGAAACACTGATTTAGTTGGTAATTTTGCATGTTCTAAATTACTTGCAAAAACATTGAAAAGACTCTTATTTAATGTTGAGGGATTTTTGCCTGTAAGGCAAACCTTTAGGGCACAGACATTTTACATTTTGTTTTGAGTTAAAATGTACTGAAGTCTTATTTAAGTTTGAATGTTTAGCTTGTTAATTGTATTGTTAGACACAATTTTTTTGCACTTTTCAAAGACACATTTTATTAAACTGTGACAATAGCAGCGCTATAGTTAATTTCTATCATAACTATAAGTTTCAGGCCCAGGATTTTTTTTTTTTACTTTAAGCCCTGATGTAAACACAAATCATGTTCAAAATAATATATTGTTTTGCTCATAAAAATGGTACGTTCTCATTTTTTTTAATCAAAAACAAATTTCAATCTAATTAAAGAATTCTGGATTCATAAATACAGCTAGTTGTGAGACTACAAGCACCAATTGGGTAGACCTCTGAAGAATTGGGTCAGTCACCTTAAAGTGAGTGGATATTGATGCAGTCACCTTAATTATGTTACATATTTTTATTTGGTTGCCCTTAATTTGTAGAAATCAGTTTTAACTTTGACATCAAAGAGTTTTTTCTTTGTAATTTTCTTTTAGGAACATCAAATTTTGTTAATGCCAATTGATTTTTAAAAGCGATTAAAAAAACATCCTAAATGGTAGGTGCTACAATACAAAAAGTTACTGTGTAGTTTAACCCAAAAAAAATCATATATTTAGTTTATTCTCTATAACTCCTCTAATTGTCTCCAGCAGCTGATTTCTGACTGAAGCTTCATTTTCTCTGTCTGGTTTCCAGATGAAGGTCTTCTCCTGGTGAGCCCCGTCCATCCTGTGACTGAAGGAGCTTCTGTTACTCTGAGCTGCAGACTGAGAGGAGAAAACAAACTTTCTGATGTGATTTTCTATCATAATGACAAACTGATCCAAAATGACAGCAGAGGAGAGCTGAAGATCTCTGCAGTGTCTCAGTCAGATGAAGGTTTCTACAAGTGTGAACATTCAGGAGAAGCTTCACCTCAGAGCTGGATGGCAGTTAAAGGTCATTTATTTTAATAACTTAGTGAGAAATAATTATTTGAATGAAAATAATGTTATCATTCAAAGTTATTTTCTGATCATTTTCAGGTCCTGGAAGCTCTTCATTTCCTGTGCTGCTGGTCGTTGGATCAGTGATTGGAGTCGTTCTCTTATTTCTCCTGTTGCTGCTGTGTCGGTTCAGACAGACCAAAGGTGAAACCCTGAAGTTGGGAATTTGTTTGTTTCACTCTTTCATTTTTCAAATGCAGCATTTCTTCATGGAGTCATAAATTGAACAGCAAAACCTGATAGAGAAGTAATAAAATATAACAATGAGTATGTAGGGGATTTGTATTTAGTTCATTGAATTTAATGCTTTTTTTTTTAACCAAATAGCAAAATTTAGCTATAAGAATAAGTTTTTCAACTGAAGTATATTTAGTTGGACAACTAAATCAATCGATAACTACGTGAAGTAAAGCAGTCACATCAGGTACATTCACTTATTTTAGTTCTAAACATGAAGCAGGTCTGTTGTAGCTAAAGCTGCATTTTCATTATCCTTAAACCAGTGCAAACTGGAATTTCAAAAAAATAAATAAATTGAATGGAAACATGCCAATTTTGTAAAAAAAAAAAAAAAAAAAAATTCAATTACATATTTTGGCTCCTGGTTAAAATGTTTGTTTTTTTTTTGTTTTGTTTTTTTTTTTCGGCTGCATTTAGATGAGTGCATTTCATAAAACTGCAGTCAAAACACTTCTCAAATCACAAGTCTTGATTAACAAACACATTTTTCTTTTTACATTAGTGGAAAACTGTCAATCTTTGTGCACATATTACAAGTGATGTAAATGAATGAAATGAGGTCTTAAGCTTCAAAGTGACAAATGACCTTCAGGGTCATTACTGCCACCTACAGGTCAGAGAGAAGAACTGAAGAGAAGAAGTTGAGAAATGTGTTTCAGCAACATGTTTAGGATCCATTGTAGTTTTCTGTTAATGTGCACCTCAACCCTCCACATTCCTTACTTTTTCATTTCCTCCAACATTTTATGTCTATTGTTCCAGTTTATACCCTTATGCAATTAAGACATTTCATCAATATTGTTATTTACAAATCCAACATATAAACCCATCCATCGATGATAAAGCTCCATGTTTAACAGAGTTTTTATATTTATTTCAGAAGAACATTACATCAAATAAAAATGTCTCTTTTGTGAAAAGGTTCAGGAAGAGTGGAGACTGTCTACCAGGATGAACAGCAGCAGCCAGTGTACTCCTCTCTCCTGCATGGTCAGTGTCACACTTTACTCTCAATGCTTCCACATATATTTACTTGAAGGTGCTATTTTTCAGTCCTGGTAATTTCAATATAACTTAAAAAACATTCCAGTCTTCGCTGTTCTGACTACAATCAACATGTTGAACCTCAGTGCAGCTTGGTTTTTATAGCAGTAATAAAGTTTCCCCTCAGTTAATCAGGTTCATGATATAAATGGTTATAACTTGTTTTTTAAATAACATCTATCTATTTAAAACAATAATTTGGATATGAGAAATTTAAGTCAAGAGAGTTAAGGATATTTAAAAATGTGGATAGTGGTTCTAATGTTAACTTTCCATCAGCATCACTGACAAGATGAGACTTTTTTTTAACTTTTCTGTGTTTCACTGACTTGTAGGAGACCTTTGTGTCTATGAAACAATCAGACGGCCTGGAAACTACGTAAATGGTACAGTATAAAGATTAATTATTAGATAAAACTGTTGAGATTTGCAATTATACAGCGACTTCAAACAACAATAAACTGAAAGACAAAATTATAGTTTCAGGTCAAGAACAACCGGATTATGCTAATGTCACCGCCAGGTCAGATTCAGACTGAAGATTTTGTTATGTTTTGAAGTGGGTTCCTCACCCAACCCGGCTCCTTTACAATGTATTTTTTCATGCTGTTCTGTTGAAGTTTAAATGGAACAAAACAACATTAAACATTATGAGCACTTGGTGTGAAAGTTTGATTTACTTTTTTCAAACAAAGAAGCTCTGATTCTCACCAAACTTGAGAAATGACTGAGGCTGATGTGTTTCACTAGTGTCAGCAGTTTAGTTAGGATTGTGGAAGATACAGATTTTTGTGTCGAAGTCAAACTTTACAAAAATAGGAGTGAAGCACATGAAGATAATGAAATGTTCAGAGCAATTCAGAAAAAAACGTACTGAAAATTTTAGCTCATTTGGATGAATGCGTGATTTTTTTTTTTTTAAGTTTGTAGGTCAGATGAAGCACTTTTCATGTTTTTAATAACCCCCCCGCACTTCAACCAACCAGGACCATATTCAATATACAAGCCAAGGCCAAGGGCTTGGAGGTATGTGCAAAGTTTGACAAAAATCTGATCTGTGGTTTTTGCGTAGCAAATTTAGCAATTTTTACAGCACCACCTAGTGGTGTAAATTGATGAAAATTAGCTAGACATGATCGATATTGTGTTTGTAGTTACTGGTGCAAAGGAAATTGAAGTTCCTACTAACACAATACATGAGTGCAATCTTTCTAGGAACAATTACTGTGCTGTAAAGTCCTTTTTTGTTGGAAAACACTGACTACAACATGCATTTTTCTTTTAGGAAATAATGTTTAACAAGATTAGAATGATTCAAAGTATGTTACCAAGGTAAAACTTGCACTGTTGTTGTTCATTTAGTTATACAAGTTGTCCTGTCTCTTAAAAACTCGTAAAATCATTGAAATGTTGCAAACATTTCATTTTGCTTCAGGGCTAAAACAAAGTGCATCCAAGGTTTGTCATGAAGTTGATTCTTCTGAAAGTTGGTACAGTTTGCGCTTAATTCCAGTGTCTGAAAATAATCGTCTTTCTGTGCCAGATAATTTTGTCTCTTCGTTTTAGACGGGGAACGGAGAAAGGAAGGACAGAAGAAAAGGTATGAACTTCATCAGAGTTCTCAAAGACCCACTATGAGTCAGGTTCTATTCTTTCTCACGGAAAGTACACAGAAAACAAGAGTCAGGTTTCTAAATTTGTTCTAATTCCTTTTCTGGATAGGTATAAGTTTGAGTTGCTGGATTTTAAGTTTGTTCTAATCCCTGTTCTGGGTTGCTAGATAATTATAAGTAGGTATTCTCTGGACTTCCTAAGTATGTTCTAAATTTGTATGAGTAATGAGTACGCCACAGTTTCTAACAAGTAATGAATACAATGAAAAGGGAGAATGACCAGCTGGGGGCTGCACAGTGGCACAGATGGTAGAGCTTGCAGGAAGAAGGTCCTGGGTTCAATTCCTGGCCTGGGCTCTTTCTGCAAGGAGTTTGCATGTTCTCATGTTCTCCCTGTGCATGCTTGGGTTCTCTCCGGGTACTCTGGCTTCCTCCCTCCAAAAACATGACTGTCAATTGGCTTCTCTAAATTGTCCCTAGGTGTGAGTGTGTGTGTGCATGGTTGTGTGTCCCGTCAGTCTCTGTGTTGCCCTGCAACAGACTGGCGACCTGTCCAGGGTGACCCCGCCTCTCACCTGGAATGTTAGCTGGAGATAGGCACCAGCACCCCTCCTGACCCCACCAAGGGACAAGAGTGTACAGAAAATGAATGGATGGGAAAATGACATAACAAGAAGAATGGACACATTAGGGCACATTGCAACATTCAGACAAAACAAAGACATGAGTGAAAGGAGGTGACAGGAGTGCTTCATGGAGAATCTGGAGAATCATGGAATCATGGAGATCTGAAATAATCAGCCCTTCCAAGCCAACTCAGATACAGAGTGTCTTAGATCGGGTAGATTTTCAATCTTCCCATAAAGTCTCTCCGATACATCTCAGTTCCCAATTATCCAAATTAGTTTGGTCGTTCCACTGAACCAAAACTAGCAACTTCTTCAAGATTGATTCCATCCAGCTAGTGAGTATTGGAGTCCTCAGCTGGTCTGCGAGTCTCAGCAAGACTCACATCCAACTTGCATCTCTATTCACACCAAAAACGAGTGTTCACTAGTTCGGCCAAGTCCGTCACAAATTTGTTGATATGCCAAGAATCCACAAGCTCCAAACAGCAGAAATCCTGTTATCATGAATAAATCCAGGGTGTATCCCATCGGGTGCGTCCCCACAGGACAAGAGGGCTCTCCTGTGCCCAGTATTCTTGTTCATCAATCGCATTGAGAGATCAGTTGACCAGATACATAATTTGTAGATTTGGAATATGTGCAAAAAGATTCCAAAAAATGGAGATAGACAGCAGAAAAACAGGACAGGAAGGGAGGAAACGGAGGGAAAAAAAATGTCCGCCTTCACCAAGAGCTAAACAGAGAGAGAAAAAACGGTGTGAATTTCATCAGTTATCAAAAATCCACTATGAGTCAAGTTCTATTCTTTGTCAGGGAAAGTACACAGAAAACAATAAGAGACACTTTTATTAGAAGCAGGTTAGAATGTTGCCACAAATTATTAAAGCTAATTTAAATAACCACAGTAAAGCTTCATTCCTCACGTAAGACCGTTTTTCAAATTATGTTTTTCTTACGGCATGTAATATATTTTTTTTTTTTACAAAATCTCACCAGCTCTAGTTTTAGTACCACTTTTAATGACGTGGTGTGTGCAAAGAATGCTAAATAAGTAGCTTGTGTTTGTGGTGGCAAATAAAGGAAATTATCAGTCAAAACAGGAACTGTAGGTTGGAGACATTAATAGTTTCCTCAAAAGAAGGAACCACAAGGGCGGATGTTCTATGAAGACGACCCTCGACTATTTTTCACGTCTTACTCATTCTGCAGTTTCAGCCTTTCTGTTGTGACAAACATCTGAATTTCTGGAGCTCACACAGGAGCAGAAACATTTTATTTCTGGATTTAAACATGGACCACACATTGCTCTGTGTGCTGTGCGCACTGTGTAAGTACATTACATTTTCTGTTTGAATCGTGTCTGTAAAATCATCTTTAAATGTTTGGACGTTAATCACCGTGATCAACGGAGAAGAGAAACGCTGAAG